TCAACTATAACTAACTAATCTTCAACTCCCTCAGAGACCCAAGAAGGAAATAATATTAGCTAACAAAAAAATAAAAACAGGAAGTATATGCAAGCAACTTCCAAAAAATTGTGAGTTGACAGAAACAGCCAGCTGCCTGGACAATCATCTGAGGTTTCTCCGCAGTGTTGGGGCATCATCTTCAGCCTAAAGACTTAGCGTATCTGACAGACTCATTTGTGAAGTAGGATGTACACAAGGTCAACAGTTCAACCTCACATTGGGTGAGAGCAGTCTATATACCAGAAACACCTGAATTCTACTAGTGTCATGTCATGATTCAGGATTTTAAATTCTGGAAATTGTTGATGTTTTTTTTAATTCAGCTGTCCATTCTTCTTGGCTATGTGTGTATGTGGCTTCATTTCAGCATCCTGTTCTTCTCCACATCCCTCTATTAAATGCCATTCTACTGTTGAGAGGTGTGAGCTTAATTACTCTTCAAGAATAACTGTTTCAACTACCTTCCCATTGCACATCAGAAGCCATCGGCCCACTGCCTGTTAAGCTGCCTTCGAAGAAAAGGGCACTGTACCTTTCCCAGATTGCGAAGGCCACTTCAGGGATGGTGCCATATTGTCCTGGCCTCAGAAGATGCTTTTTGATAAAGCCATAATCACACTTGTTTTTACAAGAATCAGTAGTCCTTTGTTTCGTGTCCTGTCTGTCCTGTTTGTCAGCAGTTGATTTGAGGATACTTTGTTGTCCAGTGGCTAACTTTTGCCACAATGAAAGTTAACTCCATACACAGTTTTTTCAATGCCCATATATTCTCTGAAGTAGATTGGTACTGCCAGGAGCCGACATGTCTCATAGTCATAACAAAAAAGAAAAATTTTCTAAGTTATTAAAACATTTTAAATGCCATATTCTGTAGATCTCTGAAGGGTTTGAAGATAACCTGTCTTTCTAAAATATATCTACTCAATCTTGAAAACATACCTAATATAACTACAAGTTCTATTATAATGTCTAACTACGAACTTTCATTTCTTTATATCCTAATAGTTGGTCAGAAAATTGCATTACATTGTTAGATGAATGGTACAATTAGAAATATACATATAACACTTTCTAACAATATCAATTTCAATATATATAATTTGTATACAATATAAAACAATCCAATCCAATGTAAAGTATTTACATTTTTCTTTTCTTTTCTTTTCTTTTCTTTCTTTCTTTCTTTCTTTCTTTCTTTCTTTCTTTCTTTCTTTCTTTCTTTCTTTCTTTTTTTCTATCTTTCTTTATTTTTTTTAATAAGAACCTTAAATCTAATCTCCTTTGCTTAGCCCTTTTCCTCACCCTTGACAACAACTTGTAACCAACCCCCCTAATCAATGAAAATTATCCCAGACCCAAAACCCATTAAAAGACCAAAAAAACCATCCGTCCCACACCACCTCTTTGGGAATGTGGGCGTCGTATTCTTGAAATTGCTTCCTGCTGGGTATGGGCGAAGGTATCTTTATCCTGAAAGAAAAATTTTAGGTTAATTGTCAAATTCTAGGAAAGGTAAATATATCCTTCATTATCCAGTCTGTGTATAATGCCAAAGTTCAGGGTTTATCTCAAATCCTTATTCAAGTAGTCTTTGAGACTGGATCATCTCAGCTAGCTCTCTCAAAATTGCTCTGAGCACTTTGTAGTTCAAAGCTGTTCTATAGATGATGTTTGTCAGCTTAGTGATGTTATCATTGTCCACATGGAATTGTTGTTGTTGTGGGGCCCCATCTTCTTCCTGGAGACTTCAGTTGATGTTAGGCCTGACCGTGATTTCCTGCAAAAAACTGATAAGAGACTCGAACACAAAGACTATATATGCGGCTTTTTAGAATTAGCTAGTACTCTATATGACCATTTATATCTTAACAAAGTTTAAAATGTATATATATATATATATATTAATCTTGTAAATTTTGATATAAAATTCATACTTTAAGAAAAGTTTAAAGAATCAGAATAGAATCAAAGAGTTGAGATTAGTAATACAATAGTCCCTTAATTAATTTGGCTTTTCTCCTGTCCCAAAGCAGAAGATGGCTCTTTTATTCTGGCATGATACAGGGACTTTGCATTTTCCTTTTAACAACATGCTTGAGTTTAAAGAAGGAGAGAGCCATTCTCCAACTCCAAAGTCAGCTTTAAATTTTAATTGAACTGGGACTATTAGAAGTTAAATAGTGTTAAATCTTTAAAGAAAAGCAGAAACAAACATTTAGGAAGACATAAAATTTTTTAGATAACATACCCATACGTCATTTCACTCTGTTCCTTAGGATAGATGATTTGTCCCTTTTCTTCAGTTGTCTCATTTTTCCAGTGTTCTTCAGATTCCTTAACCTTCATTCTCCTAAAAGACAAAAACAAAAACCTTTCCCCAAGGTTTTTTGGGGATGTTCCTTTTTGGCAAGTTATTATCTGATTAAATGAAAAGGCATGTGTTACTGGTGTAAGTTAGTTTAAATTGGATGTTCATGATAGTTGATGAACTATCACCTCCTCTAATTAAGAGGTCTCTCTTGTTCAAATCAAACCTTTATCAATTTTGATGGTACCCACAGCTTATCTTCTTCTGTAGAAATAAAAGCAAAACCTTGTCCCCAATGTAACACATATCCTGGTTTCCATTCTGAGGTCAGCACATCCTTAAAGTATATAGGTTGATTTAATTCTGTAGTTTTTTCTATTATCCAATGTCTCTCTGCAGCTGTTGTTCCTTTCTCATTGGCATTGAGAAAATTCAAAGTTAATAGAGCATTATGCAGTCTATTTCTGGGTTTTTTTTGTTACTCCTTTTTGTTTATTTAGCATATCCTTTAGAGTTCTGTTTGATCTTTCTATAACTGCTTGACCTGTAGGATTATGTGGTATACCTGTAATATGGTTTATATTATAATAAGCAAAAAACTGTTTCATTTTAACAGAGACATATGATGGAGCATTATCAGTTTTGATTTGTGCGGGTATACCCATAATGGCCATAACTTCTAGCAAATGAGTGATTACAGAATCAGCTTTTTCAGAACTCAAAGCAGTTAGTTGCCCATTGAAATCCTGAATAAGTATCGATAGTGTGGTGCACATATTTCAATTTTCCAAATTCTGCAAAGTGAAACACGTCCATCTGCCAGATTTCATTCCTCTGAGTACCCTTTGGGTTACATCCTGCTGGTAATGGTGTTTGATTGTAGAAGGAACAAGTAGGACATTTCTTTACTATTTCTTTGGCTTGTTGCCAGGTTATGGAAAAATCCTTTTTTAAACCTTTACTATTGACATGATGTTTTTTATGAAATTCTGAGGCCTCCAGCACATTTCCTATCAATAATTTATCAATCTCATCATTGCCTTGTGCTAGAGGGCCTAGCAGATCAGTATGGGATTGGATGTGAGTTATATATAAAGGATGACTCCTTTTTCTGATTGTATCTTGTAATTGAATAAATAGTGAAGTTAATTCTGAAGCATCGTGGATAAATTCTGCAGTCTCAATATGTAATACTACTCTTTCAGCATACTGAGAGTCAGTTACTACATTGAGAGGTTCTGAAAAATCCATTAATACCAACAGAATAGCATACAGTTCTGATTTTTGAACTGAATTATAAGGACTTTGAACCACTTTACTTAAATTTTCTGATTTGTAACTTGCCTTTCCTTGTTTGTTGACATCTGTATAAAATGTACGAACTCCAGATATGGGTTTTTTCCTCACAATTCGAGGCAAGATCCAATTAGCTCTCTTTATAAAATCAATTCTATTGCTTTTGGGATATTTGCTGTTAATTTCTCCCAAAAAATTACTACAAGCTTTTTGCCAAGCTTCATTTTCTATCCATAATTTTTCAATATCCTCCTTAGTTAAAGGTACAACAATTTCTGCTGGGTGTATTCCTGCTAATTGACGAAGTCTCAATTTTCCTTTCCAAATCAAGTCAGAGATTTTTTCCACATAAGTTTTTAATTTTTTATTTGGTTTATTTGGTAAAAATATCCATTCCAATATAATATCTTCCCTTTGCATTAATATTCCTGTTGGGGAATGCCTAGAAGGTAAAATAACCAAAATGCAATCCAGCTTTGGATCAATACGATCCACGTGCCCTTCATGTACTTTCTTTTCTACCAAGGCCAATTCTTTCTCAGCTTCAGGTGATAATTCTCTTGGACTATTTAAGTCCTTGTCACCTTCTAAGGTTTTAAACAAATTATGCAGTTCATCATTTTTTTACCCCAACAATAGTTCTTAGATGAGAAATGTCTCCAAATAATCTTTGAAAGTCATTAAGAGTCTGTAGTCTATCTCTCCTAATTTGCACCTTTTGAGGTCTAATTTTTTGAAGTTCTATTTTATATCCTAAATAATTAATAGAATCTCCTTTTTGTATCTTTTCAGGAGCAATTTGTAATCCCCAGCAAGGCAAAATTTTCTTTACTTCTTCAAACATTCTTTCTAAAGTATCTGCATTTGAGTCAGCTAGTAAAATATCATCCATATAATGATAAATTATAGATTTAGGAAATTTTTTACATACCACTTCTAATGGCTGTTGTACAAAATACTGGCACAGAGTTGGGCTATTCAACATTCCCTGTGGGAGAACCCTCCATTGAAATCTTTTAACCGGTTGAGAATTATTATAAGTAGGCACTGTGAAAGCAAATCTTTCTCTGTCTTTTTCTTGTAAGGGTATTGAAAAGAAACAGTCTTTTAAATCAATAACTATGAGAGGCCATCCTTTTGGTAACAGAGTAGGCAAAGGAATTCCAGATTATAGAGAGCGCACTGGCTGAATTACTTTGTTAATTGCTCTAAGGTCTGTTACCATTCTCCATTTACCAGATTTCTTTTTAATAACACCCAAATACCTAGTCAGAAAAGCCAAGCTCTGGCACTTCAAAATAAATGTCTACAAGAGTGTTTTAATTTTTTTTTTACTTTTTTATTTTCGATTTCAGAGTAATAAGAGCATTGGAAAAGTCCACTCTCAGATCACTGTTTTTTTCCTAAGGGGACTCCAAGAACTGAAGGAAGTGGAAGGTAACTATAATTACAACTAAGGTAAATATAGTTCTGGGTCCTATTTGGAAAAATCCCTCTTTGCTATCTATTTTCATGATCATATAAAAGCCAATTGCTATTTTAGTAATATATGGTAATAATAAAAGCTGAGTAAGTAGTTCTTCTGGAGCATTTGGAATCCAAGGGTTGATGGCATTCCGGCTGTGAGGCCTTTTGTTCTTGTTTACATAGCAAATGAGGCAGTATTAATGGACCTGGAAAGCTGTCCTTTGTATTTAACACTGAGTTCATCTGGTGCAAATAGAAAACCTTGAGGAACCCTTCTTCCCAGAGGACGTCATTCATTATGCAAACAGTGTCTTAGTTAAGGTTTCTGTTGCTATAAAGAGACACATGACCACAGCAACTCCTATAAAGGAAAGCATTTAATTGGGGCTGGCTTACAATTCAGAGGTTTAGTCCATTGTCATCATGGTGAGAAGCGTGGTGGGACACAGGCAGACATGGTGCTGGAGAGGTAGCTGAGAGTTCTATATCTGGATTGGCAGACAGCAGGAAGAGACGGCCACATTGGGCCTGGTTTGAGCATCTGAGACCTCAAAGTTCACTCCCAGTGACATACTACTACCTCCAATAAGGCCACACCTACTCCAACAAGGCCACACCTACTCCAACAAGGCCACACCTCCTAATAGTGCCACTCCGTATGGGCATATGGGGGCCATTTTTATTCAAACCACTGCATTCCACTCCCTGACCTCCATAGGCTTGTAGCTATATCATAATTCAAAATGCATTTAGTCCAACTTCAAAAGTCCCCATAGTTTATTACAGTATCAGCACTGTTTAAAAGTCCAAAGTTCAAAATCTTTTCTGAGACTAAAGCAATCTCTTAATTGTAATCACCTGTAAAAATCAAAATAAAAAAGAAGATCATATACTTTCAACATATAATAGCACAAGATATACATTATACTATTCCAAAAGGGAGGAAAGGGAGCATATGAGGAAATACTGAACCAAAGCAAGACCGAAAACCAACTGGGCAAACTCCAAACTCTGCATCTTCATGCCTGATGTCAAAGTGATCTTCAGCTCTCCAACTCCTTTCAGCTTTTTTGACTGCAACAGACTTCTCTCTCTTTTGGGCTGGTTCCACTCCTTGTTAGCAGCTCTCCTTGGCAAGTATCCTATGGCTCTGGCATCTCTAACATCTTGGGGTCTCTAAGGCAATCTAGGCTTCAACTTCACAGCTTCACACAATGGCCTCTGTAGGCCTCCATGCAGGGACACCCCTGCCACATACCTGGCCTCAGTGGCTTTCCTTAGTCTTGGAGGGAGATTCCATAACCCAGTTCTTGTATCCTTGACTCTAAAGCCAGAACCACATGGTCGAAACTGCCAAGTTCTGCTTCTTGCTGGTGCTAGAACATGGTCCCCTCATTCAAATACATTTTCACCAGCTTTCTGTTTTTGATGGTTTCCTTCAATGCCTAAGCTTGGCTGTCTTGAAACTTGCTCTGTAGACCAGGCTGGCCTCAAACTCAGAGATCTGCCTGCCTCTGCCTCCAGAGTGCTGATATTAAAGGCACAAACCGTCACATACATCTCTAAGCTTTTCTTTATTTCCTTTTTATGAGTTGGAAGCTTAGCTGGGTGGGGTCTTGCCCTGAGGTCACCACTCCCTTTATTCCATTTAACATCAGACTTTTGTTTAATCTGTTCATCTCCTTGAACACAGGGCTTAGCTTCATTTCATTTCTTGATGCCTCTTTTCAAATTGTATATTTTGTATTTTTCCTTATCTAGCTTGCTCCATTTTCATTATAGATCTGTGTAAGCATGGGCATTAATAACCATATAACACAGTCCATACTAGGCTGTTTTGAATTCTCCTTTGTAAATGCAATTAATCAAAAACTCTTTAATTTAGCCTTGGGCAGGATTTCTGGACAAGAGCAGAAAGTAGCCATATTCTTCAATAAAATATCACAAGAACAGTCTCTAAGCCACATACTAAAATTCTTCCCTTCTAAAACCTCTTGAGCCAGGCCCCCACAGTTCAAATCACCCTCAGGACCACTGTCTTCCATGCTTCTACTAGTATTGCTCATTAAGCCACACTTAAAGCATTCTACTGCTTTCCTAACCAAAGTCCCAAAGTCCACATTCCTTCACACAGAAACATGGTCCAGCCTATCATAGCAATACCCCAGTCCCCAGTCTTAGTTAGGGCTTCTATTGCTGTTAAGAGACACCCTGACTATGCTAATTCTTATAAAGGAAAGCATTTAATTGGGACTGACTTACAATTCAGAGGTTTGGTCCATTGTCATCATGGCTGGAAGCATGGTGGGACACAGGCAGACATAGTGCTGGAGAGGTAGCTGAGAGTTCTATATCTAGATTAGCAGGCAACAGGAAGAGACTGTCACACTGGGCCTGGCTTTAGCATCTGAGACCTCAAAGTTCACTCCCAGTGGCATACTTCCTCCAACAAAGCCACATCTACTCCAACAAGGCCACACCCACTCCAACAAAGCCACACCTCCTAATAGTGCCACTCTGTATGGGCCTCTGGGGGCCATTTTTATTCAAACCATCACTATCACACAGAAAGCCCTTTTCTTGTTCTATCTGGCTCTGGAGGTCTCAGCTATGTAGCTAGGTAGGTGGCCCATATTCAACTGAGCCAACCAGTCAGTCTGTGGCAATGAGAAAGATCTGGAGTCACTTTTGAAACTTCAAATTGTCTTCAGATATCCCATCTGTTCAGAATCAACCCCTGTCCCCCATTTAGCCATTCTTTGTTGATTCAGCTACTCCTTTGAGTATTCTATGATTAGTGGGGCTTGCAGTCATTGGTTACTGGAGTCATTCATGCCTCCTCTGCTCATCCCTGATGTCTCCTATCTAAGGAGCCTCTGGCTAGTAATTCTGCTTACTACCTCTGTGAAAGTCAATCTGATATTTCTAATGGCTCCATCCATAGTGTCCTGGTGTGCATTTATCATTTGAAAAGCAAGAAGGAGAGGCTAGAGTATAGTTAGTTGGTAGAATGTTTTCCTAGCATGCATGAAACCCTGGGTTTGATTATCGGCATCACATAAGCCAGGGGGAAGTGAAGGCAGGAGGAGCAGAAGTTCAAGGTCATTCTTGGCCAACTAGTGAGTTTGAGGCCAGCCTGGGCTGCAGTGGCCTACATAAAAAAGAAAGCAAAGCATAAGATGCCAGCACAATACACTCAGGAGCAACTAGTAAGCAACCATTGGAATGCTTTCTGAATATTAAATGTGTATGGCATGGAGTCTTAGATGTTGTGACAGAAACCATGATGAAGAGATGGGCTCTCATCGGCTGTTAGGTTCAGGGGATTACTCTTTGCCAAATGATAGGATTATTCCCTTTCCAGATTTATTCTTCTCTTACACATAAAGAATTGTTATTTTTTATTAGCATTTTATTTTAATTTTTGTGTTACTTTTAATGTTATTTTAATTTTAATTACTTTAGTATTTTTACTGATATATTAGTCAGGTCATTGTAGATGTAACCAATGGTCTTATTAAATAAGAAACACAGAGCCAATTCAGAGAAGAAAGCCAAGAGGTCAGAGCTAAGAGCCTCACCCTTCCTGATTCAGGGATCCTCTTCAGCCAAGAGAGCTCTCCGAAAAGGGGACCTACTTCCTGTGTGTGTCTTTATATAGTCTAGCTGTTCTGCCTTCTCATTGGTTGTAAACCCAAACATGTGACTGCCTCATCACTGCCTGAATGTACCGCCCTCCAGGTCCTTAAAGGCGTGCGCCACCGCCGCCATGCACTTGCTATGGCTCTAATAGCTCTGACCCCCAGACAACTTTATTTATTAACATACAATTAAAATCACATTTCAGTACAAGTAAAATACCACCACAGGTCATATTATATATTTATTTAAAGACACCATGATTTTCAAATTTCTCCACATTTACTCAACATTCCCTCAGGGATCTTTAATTTTTTTCATTAATTCTTTAAAAATTAGTAGTAAGCAATGTATTTTGATCCCATTCACCCCCAACTCCTCTAGATCCACCCTCAACTCCATACCCACCCCCAACTTCATACCTTCTTTTAAAAATTATTATTTGATAACCCACCAAGTCCAACTGTGCTGTCCATACACTTTTGGAGGTGGAGTTAGTCACTCGAGCTTGGTTGATCTACCAGGGGCCACACACTTAGAAAACACTTACTATTTTCCCAGAAGCCATCCACTGTCCTTAACTCCTCAGTTAAGGGTCATGAACCCCTTTTCACACTGTGCTAGAACGTTGGCTCACTTGATCTTGTGCTGACAGTCACAACTGCTGTCTTGCCCAGAAGACACTGTATTGTGGAGCAGAATTCTTTTTTTTTCTTGTTCTTTTTTTAATTAAGGAATTTAAAAAATTCATTTTATATACCAATCACAGATCTCCCTCTCCTTCCTCCTCCCTCCTCTCCTGCCTTCCCTCCCCAATCCACCCCCCATTTCCTCCTCAAACAAGGCAAGGCCTCCCATGGGGAGTCCACAGAACCTGGTACATTCAGTTGGGGCAGGTCCAAGCCCCTCTTCCTGCATCAAGGCTGTGTGAGGTGTCCCACCATAGGTAGTAGGCTCAAAAAAGCCAGCTCATGCACCAGGGATGGATCCTGATCTTACTGCCAGGGGCCCCTTAAGCAAATCAAACTACACAACTGTCTCACTTATACAGAGGGCCTGGGTGGAGCAGAATTCTTAAAATGTCCTAGAGGGGAGGAAGAAGAAACAGTGTCTGTGGTATTCTGACAAGAAGCTGGGAACCTCAGAGCAGCTACTTCAATGTACTTGAACTGAAAGAACAATGATAAGTTACATGAAACTGGGCAGGTAACACATGCCTATGACCCCAGTGTTCTGGAGGCCAATGTAGAGGATGGTGAGTTTGAAGGTAGCTTGGGCTAAAAAAACAGTTACATTCTATGTGAACACATCTGCAGTGCCTACTGAAAAAA